ACCTTCCATACAAAAGGCTTATAAAACATGTTTCAAATGGTCCTTCTCGTGTGTGTGTATGTATATGCACGCACACACATAATGCACCTTAGAATTCAGCCACAATAAGGTGGTAGACAAGTCAGCTGTATAGCAACAACACACGATAGTTGATGGGATAGGTATCTCCAATGGCACATGCAAGATGACTAAAAAACAGGCAGGAAATATATGTCCACTAGAATCTGACCAAAACAATGGGATAAAGGCAAAAAGTACCATACCTTAGTCAGAGACCACAGGTGTTTTTAGCTCTTATACAAAAGACAATACAGCCAGCCAGGGGATAGGACAAGGAGTAACGATCTTATACTTCAGCAAAGGAAATTTTGGTTGGATATTAGGAAGAGGGTGACTAAACTTTGAAACAGATTACCTTGAGAGGTTATGGGATCTCCACCGTTGGAAGATTTTAAGAACAGGATAGACAGACACTTGTTGGAAATGGGTTAGACTGGGATAATGATCCTACCTTGAGCCAAGAGGTGGACTACATGGTTTCCTGAGGGCCCTTCCAGCAATACTTTTCTGTGATTCAGTAATAGTGCCCCCTAAGATTACTTCAGATTTTGCCTTAGATTTTTTGGTTACTCAGAAAATCTATTAGTTACAGTGGGTTCATTGTTAAGATAATCAGAAAATGTGACGAACAAGTGCAGCCAAAAACTGAAAGGGTTAGGCACTTTACTGGTACATTTTGTAAAGATCTCTTTTGGAGCCACCAGGCACTGCTGAAATAATAATAAGGGTGATAAAAGATTTTCAATCACTGAGAAATTAATTTTCTATTGAAGTTAACCCATAGACTGAGGTTAAAAGCTCCCCTGACAACTAAAAATATAGCTAAGTTTTAATGAGGAGATACCTCCGTAAGTGTCATGTAAGAGCTAGGAATATTATTATTTTTATTCTCTAAGTCTGCTGGTGTAACAGTGCAGGAGTGAATAACTGGTATCTTTCCACTGTAATTCCACTTGGCCCCAGTGAGGGAATCACACACCTGACACAATGTCACTTATGGGCTATGGATGCCAGACGCTCATCGGTGCTGGCTTCCCCATCAGAGGTTGCTAAGGGCTAAAGATTTGATCCAATAAAGAACTCAGACTCCTGAAGCAGGACTGAAGCAGAACCGAGGTGCTTAAGGCCAAAATTACAATCCAAAAAGCCTTCTGCTCAGTTGTCACCTAACCCTGGAGGTGCCTAAGCTTACTCAACCCCTCAGACTTGACTGGAAAGTTCCTCAGGAGCCTGCCATGCTCCTTTCTGGTCGTGCACAGAATTGCTCCAGCTTGAGTGGCTAGTACCAATTTTGCACCTAACCATAACTAGTATTCATAAAGTAAGCATTTCTTCACTTAAGTCCCTAAGAGGCCTGATCTGGTAGAACACACAATGCCAGGACTCGTCTCCTTACAAAACAGATTTGCAGATCTTAAGATGTGGCTGCCGCTAACCTCAGTTTATATATAACCCAGTGGTTAAAGCACCCACTTAGGAAGTAAAAAAAGCTAAGCTTATTTTTTTCCTGCCATGATGGGGTTCAAACTCACATCTCTACACTCCAAGGAGCACTCGCTTAGCCATCAGGATACAACATAGGCTGGGCAGAGGAACCCTCTACCCATCCAATTTGAACCGTGCATGATGGCAGCAAAGAATCCAGGACTCCTTCGCCAGGGAGGGAAACCTGATTGTGTAGCCCTGGGGCGAGGGCACTCGGTTGGGAGTTCTAACACTTACTCCCAGGATGTTTTTCTGTTTTCCATCCAATGACTGTTTAATGCCAAATGTATAAACAGTCCAGGGAGCAAGGCCTGGAACCCAGGACCCCTCTGCTGTTGAGTATCCCAGACACTCTGGCTCAGGCATCAAGCTCCCTCTTTCTGGCCTTCAGAATCCAGGAAAAATTCCTTGGCTGTGAATCCAAGTTTGACATGGGTGCTGCCCTGCAGCCAACAGTTAAGCACTTAAGTCCCAGAGAGGAATGGGATTTTAGAGACACCTCACCCTTCTGCATTTTGTACTCACTAGTTTATGCGATGCACCACTCAGTGCCTGTTGTGAATCCCATTTGCAGTTGCCCACCCTTTCCCCATGCACTGTCTAGGTTGCCTGAGCACCTAACTCAGGGTTCTGGATTCTACTCCAAGGACAATGCACCTATGTCTTTTACTGGATCAAGCCTTAAATCCACAGGGGGACTTCGCACTTCTCTGTCACTTTAGGAGCCTACGCTGAACACTGAAGTCCCACCAAGAGCCTCGAAACCCCCTCAATTACTGCTAGCCTCTGGGCCTGATTCAGTTGGCATTTTCAGAGCCTGGCTAACCTGAAGACAAGGCAACAGAATTGCTGGATCTTTCCTTAGACCCCCATAGCTTATGTTACTCACCTGGATGTTGAAGATCCAGCTTCCAATAATCCCCACTGATCCTGATTTGGAGCAGAGACTTGACCCAATATATTTCCTGACTCTCAAATGTGTGCTCTACCCACTGGGCTTGCTAGGGTATTATGGTGAGGGGCCCTGTCAGTCTTACCTCTTGCAGTGGTTCCACTTGGTATAAAGAATGAAGTATCAACTAGGGCAGGGTTAGATAATTCACTGGCTGTGTCTATATGGGATTGGTCAGTGCTCAGGGTGAGGGAGTTGTGAAGCCCTGCTCTGCATCAGCTGGATCCTCTTAAGTCTTGTCTATTCCACAGTGACAGTAGGTATTTATAGACATGCTCCAGAAGGCTAGAGGGGGGCACTTAAATTAGCGCAGATCTAAGCGCTGCACTAATTAAAAGCATCATGTATACGAGTGTCTCCGCGCTGAAAAATGGCAGCAGGGCACCTTGAATTAAAGCTTGTTAAATAAGCTTTAGTTTAAAGTGCCCCGCCACCATTTTTCAGCACGGGGATGCTGATACATGTGATGCTGGAGTCTGCTCTGACATGCTGGAATTACAGCATGTCAGAGAAGCCTCCCTGCACATGCCTAGGAGCCCAGTGTGTCCAAGTCAGGCCATGCCAGAGCATGCCCTCCCCAAAGACATGCTCCAAACCTGGATTTATGCAGGCAATGACATGCACTGTTGTCTCTTTGTAGCTGCTCTCAAGACCTTGGTGTCTGGCAGGCATGACAGCAGTTGCTAAGGAGGCCTCCTGGGGCAGCCTCACCAGTGTCCTCCTGTGGAGCATGTCTGTGCCAGCAGATGGGTGAATTCTGCTTGGGAAGGGTCTGGCTGGGACACAGTGTCCCATGGTGTGGATAAGCCTTCAGTCTTGGGCATGGTAAATGGATTGGCAGGGATGTGCCTGGAGCTGCTTCTACTACAGTTACAAGTGGTGCACAGGGAGTGGGAGTGAAGCTGGTGGTGCACAGGGAGTGGGAAATAGCTAGGGAGGCTTATTTCTTGGGGTGTCCATAAGCACAGCATTGCCTCTGACCCAATGAACATATAAAGTGAAACAGCTTCCACAGGAGAAATTGGCAGACACTCCCTCCAGCCAGGAGTGGGACAGGAAAACCACTTGACTAGCTAACTCAGGTGGCTTCCAGCTCATCTTGTTGGCTCATGTTCTTCGGGGTCTAATTCTTCCTACAAGTTATGGAGAATGGGGCTACTGCACTCAGACCCAAAGGGTCCTCTGCCTGGCAGGGTGCCTATTGAAAAGCCCAAATCCTTTTGTGCAGTCAGCTTCATAGGATAATGAAATCCTTCTCCAGGTTGTAGGACATAACATGTCCCTGAAAGGTATGGTGGGGCTGGAGAGTGAGCAGGCTGTGAGGAAGCCAGTGTTTTCCCATGGACATTGAGTAGTGAAGTTAACACAGTGCATTACAGCTGTGCTGACAACATCTGCTATGGAACACACAAGGGGCTCTCGGGCTCATGCACACTGTCTTATTCATGTGAGGATACAACCTAGGTCTCTGCCTCAGTGAATGGACACAGACTAGGATCTTGGAGCTCTCTCTAGGTTTCTACCTTTGAGAGTCACTTTCAGGTATTTCCATACAGATCTCTCTAACTCCTAGCCTGCCCTAAACAGTCATAGAATGGATTGCTGTATGCTCTGGGTTGCTCTACAAGGCCATTATATTTGTTCCTCACCACTTGCATATTTAAACAAACTGCTCTGGAAACAGTCACTTGAGGAAAGAAACCTAAATTATCTGCCTCCATGTCTGTCTCAGCTGAAGTGTACAACCAGTTATAAAGAACTTAATAATACTCCAATGCAATAGGGGTTTTGTTATATTTAAATATTGGCTAATACAAATACATTCATATAATGTGAACAAATGGCACAAGGATAGGTAAAGAGCTTGCAGATAAGTGGAATTTAAAAAATGTTTTCTAAGTCTCACAGGCTAATTTCTTATCAAAAGAGAACAGGCACATGAAAACAAATGTTCACAACAACCTGGGGATACTACTTATCCTTCACACTCCAAACTAGCATAAGGTATCTTGCTTCTAAGGAACAATGAGCAAAGAAACTGAGTTCTAAGAGGAAGTGGCTGCAGGGGCCTAGAGATAGCCCCATGGTGATGATTCTCGGTGTGTGCTCTCTGGTAAAGACAGCAGGTGGCTTGTACAATTTGCAAGGATATGAGCTTAAATGTCTCACTGAGGATCTTGTTCCTTGGTATCTTATTCCTCCCAGACATCATTCAGACCTGAGGGTTCCTCTAGTTGGCAGGGTGCCTAAAATTTTTGCTTTGCTTAAAATCCAGTTGACAGAGGATGGTTTAGTCAGGGATGCTACTGCCTTGAACAAAGGGTTGGACTAGATGATCTTCTGAGGTCCCTTTCAGCCCTACAATTCTATGACTCTATGCTGATTCAGGCTTCCCCTTTTAAGTGATATGGGAAACCTGTTACTTGATCCAAACAAGCCAATGGGGATATACTGGGAAAAGGATAACATGAAAGAGTTAGAGAGACAGAGAGGAGTCACTTACCCTCACTCCCATGAACCTGTCCCTGAGAACAATCCATGACAGCAAGAACACAAAAGCTTTGTTGCAGCAGAACAGCACGGAGACATCCGTCGTGTTTATTTTCTTTATTGCATGTAAATATAGGTAGTTTGTGAGTGTCCAAAGAACACCAAAGGGTGCTGCCTTGGTAAAAAAAGCCTTCAGAGTCAAGCCATTGTCTCCAAAAAATTGGCAGCACTCCCTAAAACAAGGAAAGAAAAGCAATGTTATAGCTAAGTGGCAAACAGGGCATTCATACTTTGTATTCATAAGAAAGCTCTTGTGGGGCGGGGCAGGTACCAGTAATTTCAGAGTCTACTGCCAAAGGCCATCATTTGTCCAAAATAATAATGAATCAAAAAAGGGATTATAAATATGAAAAGGCAGCTACATGAGAGTAAGGAGAAAAGTGGCTCAAAGTTCATAATAACAACAATGATAATAACGGGTTTGAACATAGTGCCTTTAATCTATATGCCAAAGCACTTTGTATTTTTGTTCTCAGTGAACACATATGAAAACTAGGACACAAATAGGTTCAGGAACTTATGCATAGCCATCCAGCACATCGGTGGCAGAACTGGGGCAGAATCCATGCCTCCTGACTACCAACCTTTTGGCCTTATCAATCATTGTACCATGCTGCCTTGCTGATCAGCAAAAAGAGAACAGGTGGATAGTTATGCAGGGTTGGCTGGAGGCTCACTAAAATTAAATTCAAGGCAAGGCCTTTCCATAAGACAGGTGTCACGTGGTGAAAGGTGCTCCTATTATCAAGGGCCCACCCTGGGAAGAGAGATTGGCCTGTGACTAGTTGAATGGCTGTTGTAGAGAAAAGGGGAAATGGTAAGGCCAGAAGGGATGAAACAAGTGGATCAGTGAAAAGTGACAATTGGCATGATGATATCTGAGAAAGACAGAGATTGGCAGTCTGTGGCACACTGAAGTTTGGTGAGGACGGCAAGCCAGAAGGAGTTGTAATAATGATTGCTGGAGGTAAGTAATCATTGCTGGAAGTAAGGAGTATATGGTTTGAGGGATGTGGATGCACTCAAACAACAATGCTAGAGATTAATATGAAGAATGCTGGAAATTCAGGAAGTCAGGGGTCTTTAGTACTGCTCATATGATCGGAAAATAAATGTGGAGGGTTTGTTTATGGTGCGTTTGGCAAGGAATGATCGAGCAAAGGAGGGAGACTGAAGAGCACTTGGGCATTCACTTGAGAAAGATGGAAGGAATGCAGCAAGAGAGAGAGAGCACACAGATGTGGAGATACTGGCAAGGGATAAGTCACGGATGGTGGAAAGTGAGGTGTTATAAACATGTTATATCAAATGCCATGCTGAGAATTGAGATAAGGGCTATAAGGGAAGGTAAAGATAGTGCACTGGACTGAAAACATAGGTTCAAGATATCTTCTGTGGTTCTAAATTAAAAACTGGATTCAACCGTCTTCCTTGTTACAGCAGAACCAAAATGGCATGCTCCAGCCAAACTATTTGCATGGAAATTCAAGAATACAAAATAGAAATGCAAAGATATGTAATATTAAGAACACAGTTTGCAGTCTAATTCAAATTATTCACATGGAGTCAGTACAGACCTTCAAAAAGCCTGAGCCTGAATCGATTAAATCTTTGCAGGTTAGTCTAACCTGCATAGATTGAACCAGGAAGCAAGCGGATTGACATTCACTTTTGATTCTGGAAATGCAGGCACATGCCTGCACTGGCTCAGGCTAGAAACCAGGGGGCACTAGAGCAAGCCCTCCCTTCCCATCAGATTTCCCAGATTTCCCAAAAGATGCCTATTTCTTCAGTTGTTTGCAGCCCTTCAGTTTATAGCCTGAACACAGAAAATTTGTGACCAATAAAATCACACTTTCAGACTATTATGCATGCAGGTCAGTTAGCTGTTATTCACTTCTCAACATCTAACCATGTGGCTGGATTCATAAGTACCTTTGCTCCACTTTGATCAATTTGTTCCTAGAGAGAATTTAGTTCTAGCTGGCAGCTTGCTGGATCAAATTCATCTGCTCTTATGTCCTTGGAAGTCCTGTAACTGTAGGCCTGGCTAATGCTTATATGGAAGACCACAATGAAATCCCTGGTGTCATGGATGGAAGCCAAAGTATCATGACTGATTGCTAGGCCATATGAACTGAATGAGTGGCATGAGTTTATTTGGCTCCATTGTCACTGCTGAGCTGACAGATGGGAAAAGGAAGTAGGGTTCAGTTATCATTTGACTCTATTCAAACAATTCAACATCTTAAGGCCAGGGGGCACATACTGAGGAGGCTGCATGTTGTGGAGGTCACACCAGAGGGGGCCAAGGACTCCCCTCAACTACCCAGCTGCAGACTGCCCCAGCAGCAGTGGGTGAGTGTCCTCCCCGCCCCGCGCGCCCCCCGGCTCGCTTCCCAGCACCATGTGTGCAAGGAGGGCAGGAAGTGAAAGCTAGGGAAGGTGTGTTGTGGGGGTGGGGGCAGAGTCTGGAGATCTCCACTGCAGCAACCACTGGAGCCAGGAGAGGAGTGGCAGCCACAGATTAACCTCTTGTGGGCTGTATGCACCACAGCTTTGATATGACCAATACAATAACAGGTCAAATGTGCAAAATACAAAGTGAAAAGGAAAATTTCACCAGAAGTGAGCAATTCTGAATCCTGCTTTTGAGGAGAAAGGTTTCAGAAACTACATGTTGGTGATCAGAAAGTTGTACACATGAAGCTCAAGCCTGGAAAGTGAAGATGGCTGTTTTCTACAAATGATTCACTTTTAATGAATACTCCTCTCATACCTTCTCATACTTCACTTAACCTCCCCTGTCTATTTGTTGATACCAGGGGCTTATTCCCAGTCACTTTCCCTTTCTGCTGGTGGCATCAATAAGCCAAACTATGTAGGATGACTCAGAACAGCTCAGAATGTACTTCTCCTGCCTCCCCAACTACGTGACAACTGAGTCTGTGTTGAATCTTCTGTAGGTATTTATCTCCTTGCAAAGTGATCATAAAAATGCATCCATGCTATTAGGCAGGGTTTCAGACAGTCATTTTTACAAGTTCAAAGCAGTAGGAATCAGGCCAATTATGGGATACTAATTAAAGAAAGAAACAAGTAGATTGAAGATTAATATTATTTAAAAATGTAAGGAGATATTGGTGGAAAGAAGGCTTAGGAGCAATTATTTTTCTCTGGAGCATGTTATTTAAAAGTTTTATGTAAGTGCAACACCTTCTTTTAATATGATTATCTTTTACTTACTTAGCATGCAATTTAGGCAATAACCATTTTTGGTTTAGCTTATTTGGGGATGCACAGCTCCTCATGTTTGGAAATGTTTTTGATGAGCTGGTTGTGTTATTGACATGCATCATGGGGCTCAGTTAAACTGCCATTTGCTGTGGTAATGAAGATATACATAAAAAAGATTATGAGGAAAACAACTATGATTGCACTAAGGATTATTAAAGAAGTAAACAACTTAGGCAGGGTGCATGGCATAAGCAGTTATCTATCCACAGGTCTGTCTTAAGCTTTTCTGTAGCACTCCTCACCATAGCATGTAAGAGCAATTGCTGTGTAGGATGTAATGGTACCTACACTGCTAACCCCAACTGACACTATAATTTGCCCTGAAGAATTAGGACAGAAAGTAAGGAGGAACATTATTCCCTAGCCTAGTTTTTTTAGAGCACTCACCTGGATTCTACTTGCTACTCAAAGGACCATTGATGTATTATCCAATGAATGTTTAATGTAAATAAATTACAAGTCTATGTTACAGAATGCTGTCAGCATAGCTAAATCCATTAGCGGGTATGAAAACGTCACACATCTTCACTGATAAGAGACTGAGAAAACTTCTGGTGCAGATGCACCTCTGCTGACAGTAGAGTACTGACTAAGAGGCTCTGCTGACCTGGCTTCAATGACAGAGGTGTTGTAGTGTATACAAGTTCAAAGGCTAGAGACAGACATTACACATAAACCGGTTTAAGTGATCAGAAGCTGGTTTAAACCTGTAACAGAACAGATGTTCAGTGCACATAAACCAGTTTCAAAATGGCTGAAACCAGTTTGAGATAAACCTGGTTGAATGTAGACTTAACTGATTTAGTTAGACTTAAGTCTAACTTAAGTTAACTGATTAAGTTAGACTTAACTGATTTAGGTCAAACCAGTTTATGCAATGTCTGTCCCAGACCCCTTCTTGGTTTAACTTAAACCAGAGTCCCCCAGCATCCCAGATGTTTTGCAGCCCTGGGCAGGGCTCTTTGCTCCACAGCAGACCTGGCCCTGCCCCTCTCCTCCCTGGCTGGAGCTTTGGCACAGATGGCAGGCACAGTGGCATCTGCCTGGCTTCCTCCTGCCCCCTTCTTCCTCCCCCCACTCCCTGCTCAAGCAGGGATTCCCCCCTCCCCTCCCCTCCCCTCCAACAGCACAGACTGTCGCCAGCATGTGGTGTGCTAGCTAATGCTGAGAGGTGTCTGTGAAGGCAGACAGGACAAAGGTAGACAGGAGAGTGTCCGCTTATGGCTTTTTGGAGCTAAAAGAAGAGCTTGAACAAATGAGAGAAGTTTTTATTTTTTTGATGGGCTGATAAACACTGTGTACAATGTCGTGCTGCCCTGGCAGGAGGGAGGTCCCAGCTCCCACTCCATGATCACAGAGCAGGGTCAGGGAGCTCCCTGCACGAGGAGAGTTCCCCGCCCAGCCTGGAGCTGGCTGGGACCTGCCCCTGCTTGGGACAGTTCCTGGCCAGCCCGGGGCTGCACAGGGAATTCTGCACGTGCAGCCTGGAGGTGGCTGAGGACTGTCCCATTTTGGGCAGTCCCCAGCCAGCTTCAGGCTGTATGTGCAGACTTCCCTGCACAGTCTGGGACTGGCTGGAAACTGTCCTGGTCAGGGGCAGGTCCCAGCTCTGCAGATTTTTTCCAGTCCCGTGCTCCAATGGGGTCATTGAGGCACAGTGTTTGGAAAGAGCTGCAGAGGAGGGGCAGGTCCCAGCCCCCTGTCCCCTGCCCTGCCAGTGGTGCAGCTAAGAGCAAGCCCCCAGCTGAGCCCACACTGAGTACCACGGGCTCAGTGCTAGCTCCCCATCAGTGAATAGGGGCAGGGGGCTGGGACCTGCCCCTCTCCTGCAGCTCTATCCAAGCTCCCTGCTCCTGATTGGGGAGCCAGGGCCAGG